GACCACTACTATATTACTCGTACATTGTTGATCAACATCCAGCAAATCAATTTCTTATCTCAGCAAAGCAATATCAAATAAAGTACTTTCAATAAGCAAGGTATTCTTAAGAATTTTCTGTAGTTACTTTATATACGAGTATTACTAACACGTGAGGTATAACTCACTTTTCCCGTACTGATACAACAATTTCGTAAAATAGACATTAAAAATCACATTAATGCTCTGATTTAAATGCCCTGCTTTTTGGAAGCAACGATTTCAACACTCTTGTAAACTCCGGAAACCCAAATTGTATAAGAAAGGGAAATAAAAGAAATTGCTATATATTAACTACACAAAAAAAAAATGGATTCAAATATAATAATTGCTAGCTAACAGCACTAAAAAAACAAAAAAGGAGAAATTGTTTTTAATCAAACCCTCTACCTTATGATAGCGTTTCTATATTATTATGCAATGTCAAATGTAACTATTACGAGCTGTGCCCTTTAATCCCAAAACTAATTTATTGATACTAAATAATTTGTGACTAAAATTTTATTATTACTTTAATAAATTCTTTATTACTTTATTCTTCTTTGTATCTATGATACTTGTAGGAAAAGTATCTTTTTACATCAGCATACAATTTTTATTACTAGAAACAAAAAAATTGCTATATAGCTTCACCGTATGTTATCTGAGCAACAAACTATGCAACATATTGTTTTTGTTGTCAATAAAATTTATGAATGCCATGAAAAACTAACAACAATAATACAATAGAAGTTAAATAAAACTTACTTTACCGCCATTTTTAATGCTTTTAAATGCACTTTCAAAGCATTTTGTTGCTATAATATCCTCGCGAGTAATAAAATGCACTTTTGCTACTGCTGTGCAAAACTAGCGCTGTTGCTGTTGCTGTTGCCATTATTGCAACATGTTATGCTGGAAGATAAATGTGACAAAATGTTGCTGTAAATTTTCTAAGAGACAACAGCTTTTAACAACAATTACACTAAAAATATAGTAAATGCTACAAATTTAGTAGCGAAACTATTTTCCTTTTAATAGTGGTAATGATAGTTAATCATAGAAACTGTTGTCCTGTGAAAAAAATTCAATGGATGTATTTTATTCTATTCAATCATATTTTAATCGTAACACTGTAAACGTTGTTTGTTGTTTAATTTAAACTCTATGATTAAGGTCGATCGAATCTTATCGATGGGGAGTACAAACCCTATCAATATCTCTTACTGTACTTTGTTCTCAAATGGTTTTCTAAACACGAAAGTATGAAAATGGTATTCCTATAATAGCTGGATTATTCTATCTAGATTCTGATATTCTAGAAAACTAGTAGTTGATGGTTTATTCAATTAAGAATTGTGTTTTCTTAGACAGTCTGATTTGTGCGTCCGCCACTACAACAGATCAAGTACAAAAGTAATTCCACGCAGATCGTCTTATGAATACGTTGCATTAATTCTAGGCTATTGTTATTAGATGTTCCTCTCTTAGTGTTTTGGCTTGAAGCTCTTAGAACAGAGAGCTTGAAAAGAATAACAAATAAATCTGCTGTCTTTGTGTGTTGTATGAACCACCTATTAATAATAAAAAAAGTTAATTGTAGTATTCCTGTTTTTAAAAAATAATTAATTGTTGAAGTTAATTTTCAAGAATGAAATTTAGTATTTATAAGATTTATTTCTTAACTTTCCGTCTACAACGTCTTTCCATCACACTTCCTTAGTTACTATTGGCTGTACCAGCTTAAGCTGACGTTATGAGGTTTAGACACCACATGTATTAAATTGAGAGATTATTAAATTGAGATTAGAGACATTTAGTGTATATTTAGTATATATACATTTAGTGTATTTTACTTCACTTCCTTACTTTCCATCTACAACATCTTTCCTTCATATGTCCTTAGTTTCTACTGTCTGTACCAATTAAAGTAACGTTACCAGTTCTGGACCTCACATATATTAGATTGGCTCTTTTCGTGTTTCTTCCTTAAGCTAACTAAAAATTAAAGAAAAATGTCACGTATTTCTTTATATATCTATATTTATTAATAAATGTATATATGTGCTTTACATTAAAAGGATAAAATATTATAAAATGAAAAATATTTTCTAAACAAAAGCGATACGTAAGGGTTAAGACTAGTAATGGGTCTCATACCACGTATAATATATTATTTTGATATATATATATTCTATTGTTTTCAATTTTTGTATTTGGCTAAACCTCTTGCTAAATAAATAAATAAAAATTTTATTAAAAAAGTAACGAATATATATCATATTTTTAAATTAAAATTTTGTCAAAAATTCTTTTAAATGTTGTCATTTTATTACGTCTCGTTTGAAATTTAGTGCTACTCATACGTCCTGATGTACTTATTTCAGTTTAAATTATTCAAATTTATATATAATAAGAATTTTCATATACAAATATCAACATTCGTTTAGTTTTCCTGATGAAATGAAGCAGAAAATGTATTTTAATGGTAATCATAATAAAATTCAACTTCAATGATTTGTTAAAATTCCTATTGAAACCAATATATTTATGCGTTTTCGTATATATAAAATACAGTGTGCTCATGTTTACTGAATAACTGTTAGTATATATTTTTATTTATTGTGACATAATTTCCAACAAAAAATGATAGAACGTGTAAGGCAACACAAAGTTCCAAAAAAGTTTAAATTGCACCCTGTATAGTTTACTTATTTTCCCAAATATTAAAAACGAAATTCAAATCACGTATTCTCTGAGTATTCAAAGGTATAACAAATTTTCACATTAACAAAATTTCAAGTAGAAATTATTGAATTCATTCAGTTGAACTTTTCAAAACAAATATATGCAAATCTCTGTTTGTCAGCAAAAGTTTTGAAATGTTAAAATAATTATTATTTTAAAATAAATATTTAGTATGAAATTATGGTTCATTGAATTTCTTTATACGTAAAATATACTAATTATTTATTAAAAGGACCATAATTATAAAATAATATTGTCTTTGCTTTATTCTAGTATAATAAAATGTTTATTTATTTAGTAATATTTTACTCATGTTGTTGAAATAAATTAAAGAAAAACATTAGTCTATTTTCTATTTTAATTCCAAAATATATGTGGCATTTTATAGTTAATATATTCTATAGTATTTCTCTATAGCATAAAGCATAAATTAAGCAAAACAATAAGAATTATTATCAAAATAATATATCATAAATAGTTTGAGGCCCATTACCAACCAGTCTTAACCCTTACATATCGCTTTTGTTTAGAAAATATTTTTCATTTTATGACATTTGGTCCTCTTAATGTATGGTTTATATTAAGAGTGAATAAACAAAAATACAAGTAAGGAACATATATAATGTTTCATTTGGAAACTGAAACTACAGACAAACAAACAAAGTAGAGTAGAGTAAAGTCGAAATGTAAAAGGACGACATAAATTTCTGTTATACAAAATTTTGTTTGTGGTTTCTTAAATAATTTCAAATTAAAACAATAGAGAAACATGAATTGGTTTTTTCTCTACAAAAATATTTAATAATAAGTTTGTGTATCTCATCCACTATAGAAGTCAGTATTTTGAATTTGCTTCCATTTTTTTCTTCTGAACAATCATTTGTTAAAGTCAAGGACATTTCGGTAGTGCGTATGCCATTTACTGAAACCACAATTCCCATAACTTGCAACTCATCCAAGTACAAATTCCGTAGAATACAACAAAGATATTCCATTTGTTTTTATGTGCACTGCCGGGAATTTTAAATTCGCATTAGCATGTACGGAAATTAAAAGGATGTGGCTTTCTTTACTACCAAAAAAAAAAGAATAGGATTGTGTAATATAAAATTTTGGACCTAGTTTTAGTTTGAAAAATACACAAATATTGTATAAAATTTTAATTTATGTACTGCGGACAAACAGATAATTTTACGACTATGAAAAAATAGTTTAGATCGATGCATCTAGATAATAAAAGAATATTACAAATTTCATATCAAATTGAAATCTGTTTGTTACCTAAATAATTCATTTATATTTTTATTTAAGATTTATATTTTCTTTAATTTACAAATTATTGCTCTATAGAATTTAAGAATAATAATAATAATAAGAATTTTCATTATTAAATGCTATTAAATGTTACTGTTCTTCATTCAATTCAAAATTTATGTGGTACCTAATTAAGAAAGGCAATTTTTTATATTAAAAAAAGATATACAAAAAGATATAATGCCATGTTTCCATTGCTTACTTAGTAAGTTACTTAAGTAACTTAAAGATTTTGTCGTTTCCATTGACATTAGTTACTAATTGTATGTGAAAGAGCTTTTGTGTCAGAAAATTTCTTTGAAAGTCTCTGTTTTTTCAATGAACTTCGCATTACTTCACATTACAAAAAAAATATGCATATAATTGATATATTAAATCATTTATATATATATATATTATATATCGATTTATTCATACATTTTATATATACAAATAATAAAAAAAAAAAAAAATTTTATTAAATACTTACTTCCTCAGTACGTTTGTTTACAGCTCAGCTGTTTTTTGTTTACATTTGACATGTGAAACAAGGTATCTTCCCTTGTAGGAAATTTATTTTTAAGGAAATTTACTTAGTAAGTCCAACTTACTAAGTAGGCAGTAGAAACTTCCTTAAAACAATAACATTATTTTCAATAAGCTAACTTTCACGGACACATTTTAAAAGCTCTATCCCAAAGCTGCAAAGTTCCCTATCCTAAAGTTCTGTTGTAGTTTCTTGTGTAATTTTAAGTCTTCCGCGGTTCCTTCTAATCTGAAAGTGATATGAAAGAGCACTTAGCAATTATAATTATTCTGAAAATATAACATCGGTATATTAAAGGAAAAGTACACTCAGAAAAATATGCTCTAACCATATACTATTTAGGTTGACCTGAATATTTTGTTAGAAAAGTTCTATCTCTTGTGGTAAAGATGATATGATAACCAATATTATGCGTCGAGTAAGAATATTTTGAACTGTGACTCAGTTAAAATCTAGTTAAATCAACCTATTTATTTTTCTGAGTGTACAAATACCGAATAAGTTCTTATCTTATATTGTACCCTAAACAATTTCTTGTGTTGCTATATAATTATAACAAAATATTATTTACTACTACAGACCAATATAAACAGTATATAAATTAGAACGTTTAAAATAATTTCATAAATAAGCATTTTACAAATTTGATGTTGTGACTAATCTTAAGTATATATCTTTTTATAGTACATGCCTTTAATAAAATTTATTAAAAACTTCTTAAGCTTTTATTATTAATAATAATTATTTATAATTACTTGTGTTTTATTTCTTACAGCTGCACGATGATTTAGAAAAAGATCCAGACTATTCTGGTTCTGGTTTTGGTCCTGATGACGAAGATTCATCAACAGATCACCATCATAGACGTCCAAGCATACATACGCAAACTGGTATTTCAAAACAAAATACAAACGACAACGATTATAGCACCAGTAGAACCCATCAAACAAATAGTGGCACAATCATTGGTAGCGGCACTAGTGGCAATTCAGGCATCATCAGTGGCAGTGGAAACACTGGCATTAATACAATTGGTAAAGATCATTCATCAACATCATCCTCATCAGCAAAACCGACAATAATAACAACAACAAACAATAACAATATAAATAATGTTCATCAACAACAACACACAACAACATCATCTCAAAATCCAATACAAACCCATATAACCCAATCCTCTTCTAATATTCCCTTACATACAGATGATGATGATTTCGATCTTGATGAAACCATTGGCGGCGGCAGTGGTGATGGTGGTATCATTGATCATGGCGATAATGATGATGATGACGATCACACAGGCGATATCGATAATGATGACGGAGAAGAAATTATTGAACATGATAATCATCATATCGATATTGATGCCGCTGCCGGTGGTGGTAATAAGCTTAATGAAAAAGAGCATATCGATCCATATGAACATTCGACGACGGATGATCGTAAAGCCACAAATAATTTGGATGAAGATGACACTGTTGGTAATTATGATGAAAATGAAGAAACCATACAAGTGCATAGAGAAAAGATTGACAATGATGATGAAGATGATGAAGGCACTGAAATATATACCGATGTGACCGATCCAAACAATGACAGCAACGGCGGATCAGCGCAAACACGTCAGTGGTTTTTATTTTTTATTAAAATTTTTCTTTATTATTGGGATTCATTTGTGTTTGTTTTGTATATTTTACATATATATTACTTTATGTGCTACGCTTTTATATTTGGGTTATATTTTTATTGCAATTCATTTTATATTTTATATATATTCCTTTTTTATTGGGCACAAAAAATTTTATTTCAAACTTTTTTGTTTACATTGCATGAACAAAATTTTAAATATTTTTATAATTTATTTTATGTAGTTAGCAAAAATTTTCTTTTTTTTTATTTTTATATATTTTTTTCACTATTTAGTATGTGTTTATTTAATTATTATTTTTTGTTCTACTTTCAAAGATACGAACTGTTTTTAAACTAGTTATTTAGGGTAAAAATACGCCAGTTCGATGAATTTTATTATTACAAACGGTTTATTTATTAACGACAACAAAAATATATTATTCAGTTGCAGTTTAATTAGTATGGATTTAAACAACATGAATAATAAGATTTTAATTATTAATAATATATTATAATTAATCTGATTTAAATTAAATCATCTTACTAAATGATTTATCCCACCAACTTTATACTGAAATTGTTTCACAAATTTATATATATTTTTAAATATAATCATTTACTGAAATCTAACTACATCAACGAATTATTGCGACGGTTTTTAAATTACTCAGTGTAAAACAGCTTCAGCGCCTGAAAATACACTACAAAAACTACTTGACAAATAACATAAACTCTCAAGATTAAAATAACTTTAAATGAATTATGCTTGAAAAACTTCTTAAGTGCTATAATTATTTTTAAAGCAGTGAATTTTATTCAAATTATAATTTCTCTATGTTGTGCAAAATGATGTCAAACTCTCAGTAAACAGTCTAGTTAAAAACTATACTCCAAAAGTATATATAATAATACAAAATTACCAAGCTGTAATATACTACAGGGAAGATTTTATTTATTTTAATAAAATTTTAATTTAATCAGATTTAAAAAAATAGTTTTTAATAATTTAATATTAAATTTTTTACTTTATTTTATATTTCAACTGACAAATGGCGTGAAGTGCGGCAACGAAATGAAAAACACGCGCAGTATTTGAAGTACTACGCAAATATTTACAAGCATTTCCATCAAATGCACTAACGAAATGTCCTTTATCATATCATTAAACACAAATTTACCTTATCTGAACATTACGAACAAATTGAAAAATGCCTCATATCCGTTCTACTTTTTTCATCGCCTCAAAACATACTTTAAAAAATCATTTTCATTAATTTATACAACTCATTTATATTCATGCTCATTCTCTCTCTCTCGCGTTCTCTCTCCATATCTGTCTGATTCATATAGTATATGCTCATTATTCATTTTTTTTTGTCAGAGCTATCATTACACATTTGAATTTTTGTTCATATTATTAAATTTTATTGTATGTGGATATTAAATATTATTAAAAACTAGTGCATACGCCTATAATTATGCAATTTTATTTTATTGCGATGTAAATATAATATATATAATACATTCAGTGTTCAATTTTAGAAGTTAAAGCTTAAAAAATATTTTTTTTTGTTACTTAAAAATGTTTTTTATTTGTTAACACAACATTTAATTTAATCGTGTTGTCACGCTATTATTATTAAGTATTGAAAGTCCATTTAAATTACTTGTAATTATCACAAGCATGATTTTGTAAAATATTTACATAAAAATTGTGTTTGTTTAATTGCGTTATCTGGATTATCTGTACTTATTGAATTTGCATGGTGATAAGAAAAAATGAATTATTAAACAAATATATTTAAAATATACAATAATTAACCTAACTAATTAATTAAACTAATTTAATATATGCGATTGAAATTTATCATTTTTAATATTAAATACCACATAATTTCAAAATGACTAGTAAAATTAAGCTAAGAACTAGTAACTGCTTAGTAACTAGAGAAATTAAAACCTAAGCAATTAACATAATATTCTATTTCCTTTAATGATAAATATAAATGAACCATATATATTTAATCCTTTAACTCCTAGGAGAAGTATAGGGCCGCAAACCATATACCTTAATATTAGATTAAGGTTATATTATCATATTATATTATAAGGTTCAAATGATATTGTTATATCATTTATGATTCGATTTGTATGCAAAAAAAAAGAGGTTTTGGAAAAAAAAATTTTAATATAGTAAAATATAGATCTTTAAATCTGTAATTACTTAAATTACACAAAAAATTTGTCGCTTCTGTCTTATTTTACCAATGGTAGGTAGATAGATGATAGAATATTTTTTTTAACAACTGTTTGTTGATTTATAATCAGTACGTTTTTCTTTTTCAACATATATACTTTTATGTCGGCTTTATAGACCTATCGATTCATTGATATATTTTTATCAAAAGTACACAATCACGTGATTGTAAAATACACATAGTGATTCCACTTGTATTTTTTACTATAGCAACATATGAAATCGCTACTGTCTTATACTGTGGGTTACTTAGAAGTCCAGATTCGCAAGGTTATCAACAATATACAGTTTTAGCTACTCAATACTTATACTACAAAATTATGTTTCTTTCAATTTAGGCTGCTTATATACCCGGAACCATATGCAAATACATATGGCACACAATTATCTTTTAAATAAAGCCAGTTTATGTAGAAATTACCCGGATTTGTTGCTCTTTAAAAATGAAACTTCGTAGAAATGGATTTTCCATTTAGCATTTAACTAATTAATTCATTATTTCATTTTAATTATATTAATATCAATATTTTATTAAGTTTATGAAATGAAATAAATATATTTACCGAGAAAAATGTAGTGTCTGTGTTACCACTACATTAAATCCTCTAAAGCATCTTAATTTTAGAAATCTGTCTGAGCTGCTTATACTAAATATAATAGATGAAAATACTCTATTAAATACAAATTTGAATTTTTTTAAAACAACTATTAGCAACAACAATATTATAAGTGTCTGATTGTATATTTGAATGTATATACTTAAACAAATCAACGAGAAAAATACGCTTACACAAAAAAATTACAAGAAAAAGAATTTTCTATTACTGTCAATTTCTAAAGAAAATTATAGAAACATTCTTTCCAATCAAAAATCTACAAGGATCCAACATCAAAATGTCACTTAAATCAGAAATAAATTGACAAACAATCGATAAAAAGCCAAAAAGTAAAGTTTAAATAAATAAGAATTACTGAAGCTGAAACACATTAGCTCTCACCTCAAGAATACGTTGAACAGCCATACAAGCTCACATATACACACACATAAAATGTAAAACTAATATCACAGCATATATGCAGGCGCGCACATATGGTATAACAAACATTAAATCAACATTTTTGGCGCCGCTTTATATACAATGAAAAGACTAATGCAATATTTTTTGCTTGTCTTGCTTTTCTACTTATACATTCTCAGGAAGTGTAAGAAAATTGGAAATTCGAAAATGGTGACAATATAAGCAAATGATTAATGTAAGCATTAAGTCAAAGAACTGTACCAAGAGTCAAACAAACATGAACAAAATCCAAATAAATATTTCAGAAGAAAATCTTACTAAGTAAATAATTTAATATATTAACTTTAGAACAGAAAGAGAACAACAAGAAGTAATAATATTTAAAATTCCACATCAGTTTTGTATTATTGAAAATGTTACTCATACGCACTGTGCTGTGATTTTTCATTTTTTTTTCTTTTTTTTTTTTTGTTAATTTATTATTTTGTACGTGATCCTGTGAAATATACTCTGCCATATTCATAGAACTGACAAATTTTCAAATGTAAAAATTTTTTTTACAATCTTTGTATTCCCTATATTGTACGCATAAAACACAGTTGTTGCAATACATAGTTGTTGCTAGTTTAATGAAAGAAAAATATCATGTAGTTTAATAAATATTTTTTTTATTTCGCTGGAATTTTTGCCATACATATATTTTTCGTATTTTTGTTTTATTTATAGTCGATGTACTCGAAAACCAATTTGCAGTTTTTTTTTTATATTTTTTTGGTATTAGTATTTATATTATTTCAATGGTACAAAAATCCAATACTCTTTCGACTATAGTCATTTAAGTGCAAATTAAGCACTAGTCTTTTTCTAAGTAAAAAAGATCGCCTGCTTAATAAATCAACAACGTAAACAACGAATTAATATTCACGACAACAATCGTTTTTTAGAAATTGTTTATCCACGCTGGAAAATTGTTTACCTTGTATTTTATTAAAAAAAAACTCTTTCGTTTTCTGCTTTTTTCCTTCTCCGTCTCCCACTGCATTTCTCTCTCGCTCTTTCTCACTCATTTTTCATTCTCGCTTTATCTCTCTGTCCCCCTTTTTCTATCGCTCTCTTTCTTTCTTCCTTTCTGTCTCTCTCTCTCTTTCTTTACCTATTCTTCTCTGCCCCTCTTTCTCTACCTTTTTTCTCTCCCCTCTTTCTGTACCTTTTCTTCTGTCTCTTTTCTCCTCCTCCCTCTTACTTCCCTTTTCTCTCTTTTTCCTTATCTCTCTTTTCCCTTCTCTTTCTCTTCACTTCTCCTTTCTCTCTTCTCTTCACCTTTCTCTCTTCTCTTCTCTTCTCTCTATTCCCTTCTCTTCTTTTCCCATCTCTCTCTCTCTCTACCTTTTCTTCTCCTCTATCTTTTTTTCTCTCAATCTACTTGCCCCTTTCTCTTCTTTCTTTGTCTCTCTCTCCATCTACTTGCCTAAATAATAAATGTCTCTTTCTTTGTCTTTATCTCTCTTTTTTCTCTCTTCTTTTTTCTCTTTTTTCTCTCCCGTTCTGTCTTTCTGCATCTCGATTCATTGTTCTCTCGTTATATCAACTATTATAAATCTCCGTCTGTCAGTCATTCTAAGCTCTTTCCCTCTCCTTCAGTTACTTCAGTTATATTTATCTTTTTGTTTTTATTTATATCTTATCAGTATCACAAAAACCGAATATTTTTTTTCTCCATTTGGATTCTGTTGCATTGTTCCATTTAATTCCTTTTCTGTTTCATACTCATGTTACCAAACTTACTTCTGTCAAAGTCTGTTCTTTATGTTTTCTATATTTTTACACCCCTTAAAATTAAATTCAGTTGGACTTTATCTTAAAAGACAACACATCTCAAATACAAAAACATATTCAAATTAAGTTCAGTGCTATTTTGATTTGTCTGAAGTTTTAATTTGTTAAATACCACAAGAAAAGAGCGAGTACACATAAATACCATCAGAAAAGTAAAATTCTGCACAGCTTTCAAAACTTTTGTGTGTTTAAAGTGGGGTTTTTTCGTTGTTATTTATCCCTGAAAACAGATGTTTTTTATAAAGCATCCCATGTTTCTACAGCTTTTACGAGTTCTTGAAACAACAATGAAGATTAAATATTAAACACATCAAGTGAATGCTTGTATAAGAGAGATTCAACACTGCATTACAATGGTTTTTATATAATATAATTGAAGCTTCTAGCTTTAATATTTCATTTTTTTTTGTCTTAATTTGTTTTAATTATCTTTTTAAAATGTATTATTGCACCTAAAGCACGCCATCACCGCATGATGAAAGTATAAAATTATAAAGTTTTTGTATGCAACTTATGTAAATTATATAGAAAAAAGAAAATTTGTGTAAAAAGCAATATACCATATGGCAAATCTACTTATATGCATACGAGCAAAAATATGAGAGCTACTTACTTTTAAAGCTGATATTTTTTTAATCATTCGGACCCTTAAAAGTAAATATGGATTACTTTAGTTTACGTCCATTACCAGCTCAAATAAAAAATTAGCATTTTAAACTACTTGCTTCTCTTTTAGTATTTTATCTTAAATATACACTATGTTTAATTATTGCATATAAGCTCTCTTTACACTTTTTATACATAAAAGCATTTTGTTTTTTTTTTTTTTGTGTAATGATAGAATTAAGTATTGAATATGTTAAGGTAAGCGCAACTAATAACTACACATCAAAAGGAATGTCATAGTTTAGTGCCAGGAAAATCATATCTATGCTTGCATTATTTACGTTTCAAAATACTCAGACACATTGACTTTTCAACTCTTTCATATCAAGCCAGCAGCATTTCAACATCTTTCGAGTGCCACAAGTGCCAAACTTGCCATCTCATATCATTAGGAATTATTTCCAACACTACGTATAAATAGCATATGTCCTTGTTTTGTAGCATTCTGCTGCTTTATGTAAACATGTTGAAGTACGTTAGATGTGTGTTTCAGTGCTTGTTATGTCCCACTTTATTATAGTCACTACCGATCAACGAGTAAATTTTCTAAGCTGCGTTTGCTTTTACAGCAAAAGCATTTACCAATCATTCCATATTCAGCAATCCAACTTAGAAATAGGCTTTATGTCTGCTTTGTTACTGGAGTCAGGAAAATGCTAACAAGCAAACAAATTTCCAGAGGCACACGAAAATGTACCCGTAGTATTTACCAATCCAACGTTACTACTGCTAAACGACGTACTAATGAAATTTATCAACAGACACGACTTAATTAAAATTTGGTTTTAAACAAAATGTAAGGCAATTTTAATGGCTTGTTATTAGCTTTGAAGAAGTTTTAATTTAGATTTAATTATAATAAATGGTTGTGTAGGTACCACTAGTTGTAATGTCAAATATTTCCATTCTAAAATTCCAAAATATTGATTTAAATTTGATTTTATTATAAATTTTTAATTAATGTTAACGTTTATAAAAATATTCTCTAATGTTTATTTAATGGTAAGCATTACTTGTCTTACGATAAGCATTACATTATTATATTTAATTATAATTATCTAACGATAAGCATTACATTATTATATTTAATTATAATACAGTCAGACTTCTATAACTCGAATTTTCTACAACTCGAACTAAGTAGAGTGCAAAAGGGTTTGGAGAGCAAATTACACACAATTACAAAAAATTTCTTTAACTCGAAGTCTCCATAAGTCGAGCCTTGTCTTTGCAAAATGATACTTCAAGTTATGGAGGTTTGACTGCATATTCAATATAACTATATATACGTGTTTTATAAAGCAATTACTCTTACCCTGCAAACATTAATTACCAAATAAAAAAATTCTATAGCATATTTTTAGAGCGTGAATCTGGTGAGTAGTTGTTGCAACAACGCCGTTCTTTATTTTAGCGATATAGCATTATCTTAATGTACCATAATTATTTTCTTTTGTTAATCGAATTTTATTTTCCGAATTTTAACATTTAATTGGTCCAGTAGTTACAATTATAATCTGAGCTTTTTGTGTTTCCAGTTTTATAATAATCTACCAATAAAGTTCTTTTTGCATTACGTATGCTTATAACACCAATTTTTGGTTAAGATCGCATTTCCAATTCACACCATTATCTTCTAGTTTTGAGTCACGATCAGAATTATCCATAAGATGAGATCAATGACATCATATTAAAAGTTTTTAAAACACTGTTACTAACACAAACGCATTCGATTGTATTTTTGTTATATTATAAATAAATGAGAAATACCTAAAAAAAAAAAGTAGTGTACAAAATTGTTTTAAACCCAAGACTTGACATAGAATATTACTCATTGTCACTCTTGATCAACCAACAATCTCTCAAAATGTTATCTTA